CAGATCATAAAAAACACTTTTTAATTCATATCAATGACCGCATTTTTAAATTTAGTTAATTTTGGCATCAATATATTGGCTATTTTTTGGATTAATGATTAGTTGGTATTTTGGTTAGGAGGTTTAGTAGGATCAGGTGAAAACGACTCCGTCCCCAAAAAATAATCATAATATCTATCATTTACGTGGTCTGATTGGTTCTGTGCGCATTTCCGGCCAATCAATTGTATATACCAATTATAAACGATTACTTGCTTCTTTTTGAGTAGGACATCGGCTCTAGGAATTATTCCTAACGGCTCGTCGAATAGTGTTGCTTTTATACGTTTTTGCCTATTAGTTAATACACCAAGACCATTTTTTCTCTGCATCGCTTTATCGTAACCATGAACTCGACCAACAAACGAAAAGAAGCTGTCACGTCGAAGGAGAAGCCTGTTACGAAGAAAAAATTCTCGCAGGGCCGTAAACGTTGGAACAAGAGGCTTAAGTTGGAACACAAACAAAACGATCAAGAATCAGAAGATAACGACGTATTCCCTATCACCGAGACCAATATAGTTTTTAATTCATTAAAGGTATTGGCGGAACTGATATATAAATATGAATCGATACACTTGAACTGGTATAGCGATTTTCTTGTCGAATTATTTTTGCGATGATAGGAAAATTACCTGAGTCATTTGTTACGAAATTCGCTTCGGCGAGTTGTCCGTTTCGGCATGCGAACAACTTTCTACTAGGTTGCTCAGTATTTTGGCAACGGTAATCTTTCCGTTCTACAAAATATAACTCTTCACCAAAGTTTACAATTATTACTTTTTGTTAATTTTAAATATATAAGCGTGAGCTATCTTTCGACTAAAGCGAACTTAATTGCGTATTAGCGCCGTACCCAATATGCTACCCGGGATTGTCGAATCTCGATAAAGTGTATAATTTGGAAAAAGAGTGGACTAGCGTTCCCATCTCTTCCTGGGATCGTGTATCTACTAAAGAAAATAAAATTTTGGTGGATATTTCATCACGAGATATACTGATCGAAGCGTTAATTAGGGAAGCGAGATCTGGCGATACCGACTATTTAGGCCTTACCGAAATTCCTCCAGATTTCCTCTCGTTAATCGATACAGATATTATATCAAAG